AATTATAGAAAACCCACATACGTATGTATAAAATTGTTCGACAAACTACAATATAATTCAAAATGCATACAGAATTTCGACAATTTCAAACTAAAGGTTGAAGAAAGTTTAAAAAACTTATTAACTGAATTTTTTAATGCTATGTGAAAAGTGTGTTTAGTCGTCTTAATCCAGTAAACATTTTAATGTGGATAGTATCGAGGCCTAAAGTTCTATCAAACTCCGCCTATTTGTGTTAAATTGGTAAATAATAGAATTCAGCCTAATAGCAAATTATACAGTGTTCCGTAAATATGTTAAAATATTTTAGCAGCGTGCTCTCCTAGTCAGTTTAGAGGAGGGTCTTCCTGACAATTTTTTTAATTTGAAGTCTCATTTTCGAGATATTTGATCTCCAAAATGGCGAAAATTATTAGTCCTTGTCGTTTTTCTTTAAAACGGTTAAAAAAATGTTTTGTGTGCACTTAAAATTTTATCAACATAATTTTTTTAATTACTACAAGTTATTTATCAACTTTTTTAAGTTGTTTAACTTATTGTTTTTTCTTAAGGGCACTAGTTGTTAGAATATGTTAACATATTTACGGAACACCCTGTGTATTTGCTTAGATAATAAAAATCGCTACAGTACAGTCCGAGAATAAACGATTTATTAATTCTTAGTAGTCTGTTCTTCGTGTTCAGATTAGTCACGTTCTATTTTTATATAACTTCTATTTTTATTTCTTGTTTATGAATATATTACTGTTTTAAAATAACGACAGTAATTTGCACATTAAATTATTCTTGACACATTGGCTAACAATTAGTAAGTATTGATGAATTTCAAAAGTTTTTCTCACAATGTTATACCTCTGTATTAACTTTTTACTTCAAGCTTTATTGAAATAAAAGTGAAACCATTTCCTTTGGTATCAACCTGCCGACATATTAATCGAGCGTCCATATTTACGGCTCACTTTTAAGTAGCACCGTGTATAAAAATATCTATGAAGAACGTCCAATTTTTTTATATTTATTTTTAGTCTATTTGATGGTTAAAAAAACTAACTTCCTGATTCGTGACGAAAACGCCTTGTATACATATTGCGTTTTATAAAGAATGAAATAACAGTTTACTACTACCACTGCAGTTTAATATAGCAAATTTTTATGCGTTAATTGGGTCACCAATAAATGTTTGTAAACATTTTAGTCACAGATCCAAAGTTCGTTCACAACAAACGAAGTAAATTCCAGAATAAGTACATTTCTAAACTCAACAGGTATAAGCGACATCATAAATAATAATATAACAGATATTAAAAAATTGTATAATTTTATCCATATGTTATTAAGGTACCAATAAATGCACATTTATGTTTAATTTAATTGAAACTCCTATTTGAAAGAAATAAATCAAAAAGGGAACAGTCCATTTAATCGATTTTGCCAACGATTGCTAACCGACACTTTCAAGGGTGGCACATTTTGTTTATCTAAAAACAAAAATTACTTGTCCTGTCCAAAATCTCTTATAAAAGTCGGTGCGCAGTTGTGTTGTTTTTTCTAAGACTTAACAGCAAGTACTTTTTCCGACCATTGCAAATACATCCGCTCTTATAATACATCTTCTCGTATTACTTAACAGTTTTCATCATTCATTTTATTGCACCAAAGTGGATTCAGTTTTGCACCAAACACTAATGTAGAGGACTCGATCTACGCATCATTTGGTAACTAGCAGCTCGTGCTGTAATGTGATTTTCTACAACATTTCTGCTTTAAAAAGCTTATTCAATTGCAGAAAATGCAAAACGTCCCCTAACCATCGTGGTTAGTGCAACCAACCATGGAAATTTATTTTATAAATAAGTAATTTTAACATTTTTAATACAAATTGAAAAATAACTGTTGGAGTCAGGTTACTTCCACACGCGAGTATAAAAAGAATTGCTCTCCCTGAGAACAGTCTCGTGCGGAAAATATAAATAAATTTCATTTTCCACACTTGTTGAATTTTCCGCATTATAATACGTGGGGAATTGTGACATACATTTGTTTAAATATCTTATTTAATCTGTTTCGCCTTTTTAAATCATTCATCCATAATTATACCGGCTCTAATTTAGGAATTGTATTAGCATATTTCCCAAGTAATTTCGTCGATTAGTATAAACTAGCTTGAGACAAAGATTCAAAAGCAGGTCAACCAAACTCTTCCTACTTCAAAATTAAATAATTCAAGCATGAAATCGATAACACCTGAATTTTTTATAGCTTAAATGGTATAAATCGACGTGGCTTATTATGAGCTTGGTAAAAATTGTGAACAACCAGATTGTTGAAAAAACCTCATCCGACCAGTCAATGTTAAAAACCGCAAGGATCTTAATAGCGTCTATTCAACCTAATTGGGGTTAATTTAAAGGCTAGAGGTGTTATTTTCGGTGCAATAATGAGCTATTTTAAGACTTATTGGATTCGAGCTCCAAGTGGGGAAGCCGAGAAAAGTACACCGATGTTTCTACATCCCTGAGTTAATGATCCTATACCTAGTCGATATTGGTGAAATAGTTTCTCGAACCGCATTGAGGCAAACGTTCTGCGTTCTGTGCATTGAAAGTAGTGATAAATAAATATGTTATGCATGACACATTACTAGCAACAGTAGCAAACCACATAAAATATATTAACTGCTGAGTGGTCGGTTTGGTATAGCCTTCGGATAGAAGCACATTTTTGATAAGTGCAATGCCATTATCACTAGGCTTTAGAATTAAGTGAAAACCCACATAGCTAATGGACTGAAACTTTGATAACGGTGATAATATCGATATGCATTGTTCTCCAAAATTTAATTAAAACTGCAATTTTACCAAAAAAATTGTTTACGGTTCATTTATTCCTTATAATAAATCAACTGAAGCTATTTGCTTAATCTTTAAACTACCTTGAAATCCTTGCCTTGGATAAATAACAAGTTATAAATGAAATACACCCCGTTAGAACACATAAAATATTTTTGAAGGTGGAATGACATTAAACTTGAGACCATTGCTAATGTTAACGATTTTTTCAGACGAAATACTACTTCGGACATTTAATAGACAAAAATGCTAAATCTGTTCGAGTAGATTGATTGGTCTTCATCAGAAAAATTAAATCTATTCATTTAATACCTATAAATAATTATATAATAATAACCATTTAATATAATAGAAACAAGACTAATCTTGCAAATTATTTAAAACCAACGATTTTCGATTACCAACATGGTAGTAACAGTACTTTACGCTCGACCTGTAATCGCATTGCAAGTGTTTCAATGCAACCTTATCAAACCGTTCACTCACTTAGAGGAGTCCGGAAAAACACATATTTTATTACCTTTTTTTATTGGTAGCTATTAGATGAAGGTTAGAGAATTTGAACTTTATTATTATGCATTATTTGAAAAATCTCCAAAAAACTAGCAAATAGTCAAGTTAGTTAGAAGAGAAATTTAAAGTAATCAAAGATTACGGATTTATGTGCACATATCTTTAAATACACGTACCTACGTAAAATTCTCACTTACGAAAATCAATTGAAACTCATTTGAGATCGGTTTAGGACATTTTCTTTAATTTTTGACTTTATTTCCCGTATCTCTTTTATTTTCTCATTCCAGAAAACTCTATTAGATTATTAATAGGGAAAAGGGCATTGAAATAAAATAACTATGTATTTATCTCAACACAAGCAGAACGTATTTTATTATGTTGTTGATACAACGAGTTCTTTAAGGCTCTCTTATTAGACTAAAATTTATCGATATAATTCGGTTGAGCTTAACCATTTATGCTTAGATCAGCGACTCAAAATTACGAGTCGAATTCTCTGAATATAAACATAAATTATGGCTTTTCTCCTTTTTGCTGACAAAGAGGAATGATAACATTTACGTGGTATTTCCAATACTTTCTTTTATATTAACGTTCAGTCGCTTTGTTGCCATAAATTATTCGAATTATTAAATTAAACTTCAAGGTTAGGATCTTAGGCTACCAAACAATTTTAGAGCTTGACTGACTTGAATTTAAATAAATTTTCGTAAACACACAACGGATTTAAGCGAACACTATTCACCTATCATAAGGTGGGTAATTGTCATTGAACTAACTTATTTTCCTATTTGGAAACAATATAAAAAACGTACAAGGACACTTTAGAACTGAGTCCAATTTTCCTGTTCTAATTTTTTTTCTTTTTGAAGTTATTTTCCTCATGTATTTTGAACCATGTGTGCTAATGGAACCTGATGCAAACAAAACGTAGAATGAGTCGAATTTTGTAACTTTTAGGCCTTATCCTTGGCCTTTAATCGGTTTCGATTTCGATATTATTTTCTTTAAAAAAACTGAAAGTCACATTCAATGCTTTGCAAATAGTTCACATATTCATTTTCCAAACTAGTATTTTTCTACTTCTGGATTATCGTGTACGTATATAGTATGTATATTGCAAACTAAACAAGAAACAAATAAACCTAATAAACGATTTGCGACTAATCATGTTAAAAGTGTAATGCGTCAGTCATTTCGGATCATGTTAATATCCATAAAACACTCTTTATTAAGTTCCTTTTCAATGAAACAAGCTATACATTATATTTGCATTCCCAATAATTATCCAATAATAATTTTAACACCCATAAAACGACATATTTGCTTTCTCGCCCATGAAAGGGCTCTTAAGAAACTCTGAATAACATAAACTCATAGTTTTAAATAGCCAAAAATAATGCGTTTGCCCTGTATACACCCCCTCTTATCACGTAGTCCAGCTAGAGGTTATTTTAGAAATAAGACGTAATAAATTGCAGATCGCCGTCTAGCTTTGAACTACAGTTTATATTGTAAAATTGTATGTTCGATATTTAAATGTAATAAACCGTATTTTTAAGTTCTTGCTTCATTCTATTTGAACCGATACGGCTTCAGAAGTGGTCCATTAAAAAAGGATTCAATCAAACTTACCTCATGCTGAGCAATATCCCAAGTTCTCCTAATATCACTGTTTGTGTAGTATTTGTACATTGTCGAATTCAGTTTATTCTCTAGCATAACTTCAACTTCATTGCGATTAATGTATCCGACAACTCCTGCTGCGGTTTCAGCAACTAAAATGATGGCCAAGAGTACGGAGAACTGAAAAAAAAAGGATTTTTATCAATTAAACACTTACCAATTTTCGGAAAACTTACCGTTATTATCATGCAATGGTTTTCCTTCACGGCGCCGCAACATCCAAAGAAGGAGATCAAGAAGATGATGACTCCCACGGTGATTAATATAATCGGTGCTGCCTGATAGCTCGGATAAACAAAGTTTGAATATTGAGAATAGACGTGAAGGTGGGCGATTACTCCTACAACCAATATTGCTAAACCCGAAATCTGAAATTATGGAAAAAATACTACAGATCTGGGTTAAACGTTTGGTTCTTCCAAAAACTTTTTTAATGAGAAATTGGAATATTGCTCTTTTTTAGTATTTCTACAGTCAAACATAGATCGCAAATTGATTATTTAATACATACATAAATTTAAATATTTTGGGTTGGTTTAGGTTTAAAAAAAAATTATATTTTATAAAATTTTAATAACACCACTGACGCGCTCCAAACCCACCGTTAATGAAATATGGGATGTAGAATATGCTTTTCCGTCGTTTGACTAGATTTCAGGAACGATTTCAGATAACGTGTAACTAGCAAGTTAAGTCACGGAACTCCGCGAAAGGATTAAAAAGCCAGGAAATTATTTTTTGTCTAAATAAATTGGAAAATACCGTAAATATTTTGTGCTTGTCTGCAGAATTGCTAGAAAAGGTGATCTCTATTAAGTGCCTCATGAAGCACTTTTTGATCCGAATTGATCCTTCAGACATTATTGACAATAACTTAGTTTCCAACTAATTGGCACTCTAAATTTGCCCAGATTTAAAAATTATCAAATATTTAAAAAATTGTGCGATTTCGGTGAAATTAAGTACGCGCTAAATGTACTTAATATGTGCTGTATCAAGTGTGGCAAAAAGGAACAAGCAATTTCGTATCTCCGTTTCCTCGTAATCTTTCCAAGTACGAATGATTGAAAATTGATTTCCAACTAATGACGCTCGAAACTTGTTCTCGGGAAATTTAAAAATTAAAGAAAAATCAGCCAAATTTGCGATTGCCCGAAATTTTGCGGCCTCAGTAGCAAAAACTGCACTTTATTAAGTGCCACAACAAGCACTTTACAACCTCTATTCGTTTTACAAGAATAAATTATTGAAAATTAGTCTCCAACTAACACCGTTTGAAATGTTCACTCCGCAGATTTAAAAATTGACAAAAATTTTACTATTGTCTTGAACCTTGCGAGAATTGTACGATTTCCTTGAATTTTGCGGCATTAGTTCGGAAAAGTGCATTCTATGAACTGATGCAACAAGCACTTTCCTACCTCTATCGGCTATTCAAATAATTGCTTAGAAAAGAAGAATGTCGATCAAAGCTTACACTCGGATGTTTAAAAAATACATAAAAAAGAGTTAGCTTAAATGCCAAAAAAGTATCGATTTCTTTATTTCCTTGTTGGACTTTTTATTTGTTTGGTCAACACTGCGAATTTTAGCCATCTTTAAATTCAACTAAGTTTATGAGTCTACCACTCAGTCGATTGAATGTTAAGTTAACTACATATTTTGAAACGAAAAGCTTTGCGGTAGGTACCTACAGGTAAAACTGACAATTTGCTTTTAAGTTTTTGAGGGTATTTACATAAATTTTAAAGCATTGTTTTTGGTTTATTCGCGGTATTGCAACCAAAACTAAACTTTCCTCAAATAATTAATATTAATCAAACTATATTTTTTGTCATGAAACAAAAAATCTCGTTTGATTGGAGTTTCTTCGGTGTGTACACACCTGCTTCCTCCGCCTCATTAATATTAATTTAATTAATATCGGTTCTTCCTGTGTTCATCTTTGTAAAAAGTTTCTGATAATTGACAGCTCTAAAAGAAACTCGATACGTTTTGAGAATAAGCTGATTTAATTACAATAATATAAAAATAAGAACCAAAATTGAATGAACACTCAAATTAGGAAATTGAGATTTTCTCAATTCAATAAGAAAAACTTCCTGCTTTGCTATTCTGTATAAAAAAAGGTAACGCGCTTTTAAAACATGTTTATATAAAATGTTAGTCCTAAAATAAGATTTTCCATGGGTAGTTGTGAAGTCCTGTTACCATAAACTGATTTACCCTGTATACTGTATAGTGTATACTAAGTATTTCGACACAAAACATTTACCGAACCAGTTTCGTTACAGTTACGTCAAGTTTGGCCAATATTTCACTGTTTGCAATTAGTCAAATTTTATTGCCGCAGTGATTTCCGTACATCGTTTCACAGCAGAGTAACAACCTGATAAAATTAAATTTACAACATTATACCTGTCTGAACCTAAATGAAAACCGGTTGAGTATAAAGGTACCTACTCAGTTGTGTGTGATAAACCTTACAAAACGCGCTGTTAAATAACTACTAATGTCATAAAAAAAATAAAAGTACCAAATTAATTACAATATTTTGTACATTAAAATTTAGTAAAATATTAATTTAAAAAATCCTCAGACATTTTATACGTACATATTTTTATAAAGCAAAAAGTACTTGTCTTGATGTTCCTAAAAGTTTGTCGTTGTATGTATGAACGGGGGGTTCGTACATATGTATAATGAAATCGAATATCACTAATACCGACAGGTTCATCAAGCAGACTTTTTAAATTTTCAAATTAATTAATAAAATAATTTTCAGAACAATGAAATTAATAAACCGCCATAACGTTTTCACAACATCAACATAATATAAATTACGCAACCGGAATAAAAATAGACTCGGGATGCAAATGAATTATATATTATCCTCAAAAAAAACACCACTTTTCATGTTAACAGCCCATAAGATCCATTGTCTAACGCAATTTACAGGGTGCGAATTCAATTCTAAATATCGTTTTGAATAGTTGTTATGTTATTGTAACCCTTGGGTTGCGTTTATTTCTAGAATATAAGGGAGGGTCGCTTATCGTCACGCACATGTTTATCCTATTTCATATAACAAATCGCCTGGCGATTTCTACCTATTCATATGAAGGATGAACATTCAGGTAGATTTGTACTGGATGAGAATTTGGGCTCTCAGACAGCAAATTTAATAGAGAAGATTCTCACACAGAATTGTCCATTGGTTCAATTTTAATAGTTTTTCAGTTAATCTTTTAATACTACATTATGTCCTCGAATAGTTCATATAGCGAACATGTGAGTAAAAGTGTTGAATACAGTATTATTTGCCTGTCGGCTGCTGTTCTTTTTTAATTAACCATAACATTACATAAATTGAAATGAACGGATTCGTAACTGAATATGGATCGCTTTGAAAATTTATTATTTTTTCGAATGGCAAGTGTTTTTCTGCTGTCTGGGGAATTATTAGTAGCTTAGTGCAACCAAGACGGGGTGGAAGGCATCGATTAAAATTATTTTCGTTAAGTACTCAAGGTTCTCCCAAAAATCCGTGGCATATCAAACTTGTCCACAGCTACGCGTACCAATGTGAGTATGGGTAACCATTGCAAAAATAAATCATTAACTACTTAGACAAAAAAAAAACAAAGTTGCACTTTCTACGGCTTCAGTTCGGGCGACTACTTAGTCCTTTTTTAGCTCAACTTTCAAGGCATGTAAAAACAGTTTGGTGTAAATCATACAGCGGATTAAAAAGATGAGCATTAATGTGTGCAATCTTTGGGCCCTGGTAAACTCCAAGAGCAAAATGAGTTTCAAAGACGCTTTTTAAGGGTCTGTTTCAGTGGCGCCTTTTAGGGGCGTATATCTTGGAAAGGTAGAACTTTACTTATAGGAACTTCTCATGTTATTTTGACAGCCTGTATATGAATCCTTGCATTCCCACATTTTCCGGGCCACCCTGTTATCTTTGATGATATTTATTTTTTATTGCTTCAGTATTTAATTTCTCACAAAAAAACCAAGCATATTTCTTAGGAAACGAAAGTCAGCAAATGCTCTTAAACGTCTCAAATCGTGCAAATATCAAGCTTTAAAAGCTTTGAAATCACTTGGCGTTCTTCTTTGGTCAGACAACGTATATATTCGTTTCGCAAATCAATCTACTGAAAACAAGCATATTTCGTAAACGAAACAAAATGTTAAGTCTAGGGAATTGAAGAGGCTCTGTGGGCCGAACGACTGCCGGTATAGGCGGTTCCCTCCTGTTGGCCTACAGCTTCGGGTTGAACCGACAGCAATAAGGACACTCCTTATCCTACGGATGAGAAATCGTCCCTAAAGGCGGAGGAACCAGCAATGGGTGAACGGAAATCGGATGAATATCCTGGCAAAATATTTCTAGTTATTCCCAGGATATTCATCCGATTTCTTATCATGTTGGAAACTCAAAGACAAATGGCCTCTAGTCCCGAGCATCCCTTGGTGGTCAGGAGGTGCAAAAAATCACCCGGTTCCAACTGAATAGGATAACAAAAATAGCGACTTGGGATGTAAAAACATTGTTTGCCGCTAAAAAGCTGAATAATTTAATATAGGAGATAAACAGAATGAAGATGGGCATCCTTGGAGTGAGTGAACTCAGTTGGGCTGGAAGTGGAATGCTCAAATCGGGTAAAGTTTTTTACTATTTCGGCAATGATGCGGATTGCAATCACCAACATGGAGTTGGTATCTTGATGGATCAGAATCTACAAAAGTCTTGTGTGTGATATTCACACACTCGAATTCACGTAGATGGAAAGAACAAGTCACACAATTTAAATACCTGGGATGCATAATTATCGAGGGATGAAATGAGGTAACAGATCAGATGCAGGATCGCGCCGGCTAGAACAATCTTCCTAACACTTCGAACATTTCTTAGACAGGAACTGGAACTGGAACCTTAGATTGAGGATGGTAAAATGTTATGTCTGGTCCGTTCTGCTGTACCTTTTTTGGGTCGATCATGTGAGAAACGAAGACGTTCTCCGAAGAGCCGTTTTAGCGGAACGAGAACAGGTTACCTCGGACACATACTGCGTGGAGAACCCTACCACTTTCAGCGCCTCATTCTTCAGGAAAAAATTGAGGGAATTGTTGTCGTGGCTAAAGAATATCCGCCAATTGACGGGGATAAGACTTTGAAACATTGCACAATGCAATTAACAGAATCATCTGAAAAGGTAAACGATAGCCGCTTACGCAGGAATCTGCACGGCACTGTAAGGAGAATGCAGAAAAATGTACCGTAAACTTTCCTACATACGGGACATTTTGGGGTGTCAGGCAACTATGAGGCCAAGTCCTGTTTGCTTGTGGGAATTTTTTAATCATTGGTCTGCGTTTTTTTGTTAAGTTTATGAATGATTCGCATTTTTGTCTGCTAAACTACTACATTTATAGTCGGTGCTCACAAAGCCAAAACAAATTGTGCTTTGCATTTGTAAAATAAGCTGTTATGTATGGCAGAAGGCGAAAATGTTTACATTCGTGTAGCTACTTATTTTATTTGTAAAATACCTACAATGAAACAATGAATGAGTTTACTCATTTTCATCACTGGGGGTTAATCCAAGAGTGAGCGCTATTGGATCATAATATTTGTCATAGAGTTAACTTAAAATACGAATGTAAAAATGTTCCCATTTCCGAAAAATTATTAATTACAACTTACGGCAAACAACAGGTTGAAGCAGAAGAGCAAATACTTCACACAGGTCATCCCGCCTGACACCATTTTCCAATACTGACAGAAACAAAGTGAAAATTACTGAATTTAATAACAGAAATCACTTAAAATTTGATCGATTTATGTAATTCGATTCAAAACACCGTCGAACCAATATTTTTCGCGACAAAATCGAACTTTCTTCGCTGCCACTAAAAGCGGAATTCAAATACAACACAGATGCAAACAATAACAACATCCACTTTAAACTGAACGCTTGCGCTCGCGCAGGCGGTGTAAATTTCCCCACTCCCCTGTTTCTTGCATTTCTAGTCGATAAATAGATTTTTGAGTTTTTCGGGCACTTTCACCTGATCTATGCTATGTTCGTCCTTGTTTATCTGGCAATAAACCATATGCTTTTACAAAAGTATATGGAATAAAGGCGTCCAGCGGAGCGACGTGCTAATGTTTACACCTGTCCATCTTTGTTTTATACACAGCTCCAGCTTTGTTTCTCTGATTTTTAATTGGTCAACTATTACACTGGGATTCAACATTTCTTAAGCATGGAATATATAATTCAAAGCGGCGAAATACTAAGATTTCTGAACCACAACGTAACGTGTGCGTCAATTTGAGTTGGCAGTGTGGAAATAGCGCCCAATTTATTAATTTGCATTATTTTAGCTATTGAATTGAGTAAATTATAACATTTTCTGAAACTTTGAAGTTTTGTTGAATAATTGCGGTTAAAAATGTTCCATCCTCTTATTAAAATTCTTAAAGTTTAATGTTCTTGCTCATAGCTTCCAACTTTGATATGATAGCACTAACATAGAATTACAATATTTTATTAAAACGATTTTTCAGCTTTTGCTTGAATATTTTCGCAGCCTTTTTTGTGCAAAAATGCTTTTGGCAAAGACAAAATAAACCGTAGTACAGGGTCATTTATTAGTAAAGAATCTACGAAATTTTTGTACACAGCAATTGGAAGCAAACTATTATGAAAACATATCGGAATAACGGCCGAACGAATTTCATTCAAAACCCGAAAGTTAACACTTTCCTGTTATTGTTAGTTTTTAATATTTAAAATTTATTAATTTTATTCAAAAAGAAAAAAACCACACAGTGTTTGTAAACAAGTTTCCAAAAATGTATATCAACCACAAGACATTCGTTTGAAAAAAAATCATAAAGCGAGCTTGCAGAGGATTCCTTTTCGTGCGCAATTATTTCTTTTATACAGGGTTATACTATTAGTATACAGGGTGTCTACTTAGTTCGATCCAAATGGGTAACTTTTTTATTAATAATTTTACGAGAAATTTATTCTTCATAAGAAATTCTGCCTGGTCCAAAGCCTAAAATGCAGAAATCAGATGCTTAGCGAATAAAGACAACTGATAAAAGTCTTCGATATTGTCACAAATAAAGGTACTTTATTCTTGAGCAAAATTCATAGTTTCTGATATACCTGGTGTAAAAAAGTAATATCTGCTGGTTGCATTTTAGGTTTTAGACCAAGTAGAAACAATAACTTTTTCTTGTAAAATTCATAATTAAAAAGATTGTATTTGTATGGTGCAGATCTTAAATCTATCTAGCATCTCATGTTATTCTAGCTAATTAATCTGTTTTTGCCATTTTTAGTTACGCCTTAAAGTTAGATCATTTTTAGTAGTTTCCGGGTGATTACAAAAGATCCATGATGAGTACGACTTACCTTGTTCACTTTGTGTTGTCCCAATTATGGAATTGAAAAAAATATCTCATGTACGATGAATAATTTCTGATATAAAATAGATCATATTTTTTAGCGTATGCCCCCTAATACGTCGTTTCCTTTTAAACGAACTAAACTGTTTTTGATCAATTGATACCATTAACAATAATCAGTTTTAACGACATGCAAAGTCTAATGAGACAATAATACAACTCTACGCAGCGTAATTGATGTATTCGTAGATATAAGATTAGATTCAGATTAGTTTAGAAAAAAGTCGATTGAGTAATTCACAGAAAAACATCAACAGCCCAAAACCTGTTGAAAAGATAAGTAAGCCCAATCATCGGGCCCCTTAATAATTTAGCCCTTTTAAATTATATGTGTTTCATTTGTAGGCCATTTTTACACCACACACATCTATATGAAGTTACGAAATAACGCATATTGTAACAAACCTAAATGTTAAGAAATATTGGAATAAAGTATTTCCTTTCCTATAGCTATTGGACCATTGGTTTCGGGCCCGAGGAACGACAAATAAAACAAAATATATCCAGAAGAGTTATAAGTACGTAAATATTCATAATATGATAAAATCAAACATTCGTATTAAAAAAATATTTAAATAATAAACATATTCAGAAAAATCCAAACAAATTCAAATATGTAAAAGTTTGAAAATAGCTCGCATATAAAAAGAAGAAAATGAAAACTTTTTGTTCTGAAACAGAAAACTTAGTGCATTGCTAGGGGTCCCCAACTAAAAAAACCAAGACAAGACATTCTTGAAATTCTTAATGTGAAACCAGCAACAATTTCATCTGGTTGTATTTCACACATTGAGCCAGCTGCCCAGACGAATTAGAATTTATCATAAAATCGCCCTTTTATCGCAGTAGAGTTAATATCTTGAAAGAGGCAGTATTGTTTAGGCTTAGAAGATCATTTAAACACTTGCCGTTTTAGGCCAAGCTATAGGTGTTTAAAAATGCTTTATCGTGACAAAAATACTAGTAGCAAACCAATTGTGCGATTATATAAAAGATAATGAGCAGATGAATGGGTATGTGTTTCCGACTCACATTTCCGGTCCATGTGTTAGTTATTAACAATTTATTGCAAAAAACGCTATTTTTGCTGTTTATAACTTTGAAACTAATGGAGCAATCGGAATTCCCCAAATATAGACAAAAAAGAAAGAAAATATCTACAAAATGAGAGGTCAAACGCCACAATCGGATAATTAGTTTCTGAGAAATTTAGGGAAAACCGGAAAATTGGGCGTTTTTTCGAAAATTCATAGCTGTCATTTTTTGAGCTGGAGCGCTAATATTTTGAGCGAAATTTGCAGTACGTCTTTTCCCGGCCGGCCTGTATGAGTTACCGTAAGTCCGATAATAATTCAAATTTTTTTTTGCAAAGTCCACTCAACTGCGAGGGGGCGATCGGACGATTTTCGCGAACTATACGAACGGTTTTTAGCATACTTCTTATCGATCTTATCACTTCGTTGGGGCATTTCGATTGTTCCATTAGTTTCACAGTTAGAAAACTATAAACAGAAAGAAAAAATAGCGTTTTTTTTTTCAATAAATTGTTAATAACTAACATATGCACCGGAAATGCGACCCGTAAAAACATACCTATTCATCTGCTCATTATCTATTATATCATCGCACAATTGGTTTGCTACTAGTATTTTTGTCACGCAAAAATGCTATACATCTTGGCCTATTTATACTTTAGGCTCAACAGCAGCGAGCCATTAAACATATTGCCACTCGCACAACAGACTCGCAATTCTCATCAGTAAATCTCAATACTTGTCAAAAGATTATTTAATGAATGTTGGGCGGATAATTTAAAAAATTACTAATTATAACGATTGGCTCAATGCTCCACCACTTGCCACTAGCAAGCATCCCTAACACGGGCGCAGGTTTTGTTTTTAAATTTTCAACCAAATCAGTGGTCTGAATTTAAATTAAAACACTAAAAAAGGATTGAAGGCATTGAAATTTTAACCACACACCTGATGAAACTACAGTATGACCTATAATGAATAAATTGATTAAACAATCTTAAGCTTAAAACGATAAAAATAAAGCGACTAATATGTTTTTGATTAAATGAAACAAACATTGTTTTACTTAAGCAGCAACAGCATTAATGAAAATTTATACATGTTGATGAAACTAACGGCGACGACCCTTGGTTGTCGTCCATCCATCTTCGGCTTCAGCTGGCGGTTGAGAATCTGTCGCTGCTGAAAATAAGTTACATATTAATGCAATTTGACTTTTAAAACCGCAGCTAAATATAACCCGAGTGTAAAACTGAATAAATGCGAGCACAATGTACACGGGTGCAAAAAATTATCAAGCAACTAGAAACATTCACTAAAACAAATACTTTAATTAGCAAAAATGCTGATAAATACGGAGTTTTTGATGCAAGCGCCAGACAACATATTGATGTGAATTCACATTTTGCTCGTTTGCCTTATAAAATAACTATTTTCATACGACTTCCAAATTTCAGGGTAAAATAGGGATTGCGCTTGAATGGCACAAGATTGGACAAAAAACGTGGGCGAGTGTATTTTGCTTTTACTTCTCATACTGTAAAACAAGTTCGGTTTATTGACAAGCATTGAAAAAAATATTAACGACCAAAGAAAGCAACCTTCTAATGATACACAGTTGCTGCAAATTTTTATTATTTTTTTATAAAATTCATTTATTTTACTTCAATTATTAACATTTTTTGAGCTAATTGACCTACGACGTTACAATTTAATTTTTTAGCAGACCATTTACCATTTAACTGAAACTTAGTTAAATAGCTTAAAATGATGATATTTTCAACAATGACATTTTTTACCAATATTAATTATTCTCTTAGAAATACGTTGCACAAAATTACCATCGAACATATTCCAAGAAAAATACACATATATCAAGGCAGAATTATCCTATATATTTCCGTCATCTCGGAGATTTGTGAATTACGAATTCAGGAATCAACTCACAGTTTAGAACAATGTACTTAACTATCTTATATAAACATTATCCTTAAATCGCCTCGTTTCGGAAATACAAAGGGTTGACATTTTTTTACGAAAAAACCTTTCATACAATTGTGGTGAAATTCGGAATACAAACACTTCAAATGACCTTACAGATTGCTCTTTCATTTTTAACCGCCCAATCTCCTTGAAAACTTTGGGACTAAATTCAATAAAACGGCATCATATTGGTATTTACTGATTCGTTTGAAAACTTATTTGTCATTAGTATTTTTTACATTTTATTTCGTTTCTGATATTTAATGAAATTTGGGACAATGTAGTTACGTAAATTTCATTAAACGTTACAGCCGATGAATGATGGAAACCTAATTATTTCTGTCAACTCACGTTTGTACATAATATTGTTACAATTCTATTTTAAAAGTGTTTTTCGTGCAACGAAAAAACCATAAAAATTTCAATAATTTAATCATCCCAGAAACTTTCACCAACTAAGACAAAAATTACAATAATTGTTTAAGTGCATTTCTCCAGCGTCAATACATTTTGACATCGGCGAACTCGTGTATTAATCTGGATTTATAAACTCTGCAGTTCGTCCCGTTAGTCGTTCGTGAAGTTGCCGTACCGTTGCCGTTTCTGTTGTTCGAGTTTTTATGATTTATATTGTGCAGTTAGCAGTTGCCGACGTTGGAATTTGATTCGTCAGATTGACAGATTGTATGCTCATATGATTTAATGCCGGTTATGTTGTCTCTTGTGTTGACCCAATAATACATACATCAATTCAATTTTTTTATTATAATGTAAAAATATCAAAACGTCGAGATTGTGTTGATCTAGACACAAGCTACTTGCTTTGACGTTCATATTTGCTATTGAAGGACAAGCGCCTTTAGTAACATGCCTAAATTTCTATTTTACCATTAAACAAGATGTATTTAGCACGGTCGCAAATTAAGCAATATAAATAAAACACGGCCTCGTTTTGACAAATGTCACTCAGTCACTCACGTGTTATGAAACTCTTTCTCTCATTGGTTAAATCGCCAACTGCACGAACGACGTCGCCGGCGAAATAAAATTTGGTTAATTACCAATGACATGGAAATGTATTGGAAACGACAAACCTCAAGCAACGCCGGCTTTATAAATTGTTACGTGCGCGCGCGTGTTTATTTCTCGAACGGCGGCAACTGCGGACTTCGAACGACGAAGGGCACCGACTGCAGAGTTTATAAATCCAGCTTTAACCGCAACTTTTAATGAATGGGACTAATTTTTATTTTATTACAAGCGCTTTTAATCCTAGTGATGAATGAATCACTTAATCACGGGCCTTTACTGGTTTCATAAATGATAGATCTTAGATGTCGCAATACAAAAAAATCCAAAGGATTCAGATCGGGGGAGCGTGGCGGCCAAGTCACTGGTCCTTCGCAAGGAACGCTTTTGAAATAGACTTGTGACAATCTTCTGCACAAAGTTAAGTTGAGACAAATTGATTTTCCATGACTTGCTGTACTCTTTAATAAAATGTAGATAACTAGAGAGTTACATTGTTCCGAATTTCATTAAATATCTCAAAAACAAAATAAAATGTGAAAAAATAAAGTTCAAGGAAAAAGTTAAAACGGACGAAAGGTCATTAGAAGTGTTTGTATTCCGAATTTTACTACAATTCGATGAAAGGTTCGAAACATATGAAGAAACAATTACTTACTCCAAAACCTTGCGATTTTCTGAACATTTTTATATTATGATCTATTGATTCTCAAAGTTGTCAATATTAAACCTGAACCACTCTGTACATGTTGCTCGCTTATCAATCTATTATCCACTTTAAATACAAATATAGTTATATTTATACATATCATTAACATATCTAATGATCTCATTCAAATCTTGCCGTAAAAACAATGAAAAAATAAAATTCAAAAAGTAAAAACAGTAAAATAGGCAGGATAGTTCCCGATATAAAAAACGAAAACAGAAACATCGATATTTAAGATTTGCAAAGTAGACGTACGATAATAATGAAAATGTTATTTTGAAAACTACTTACGTTTTTCCTTGGGTGCGGGACGTTTCTCCTCCACAACTTTTCTGTCCTCCCCACCTCGCCTATCGTCATCCGCAGTACCATCATCACCTCCTCTTCTTATAGGCTCTTCGCGTCTTGAAGGCCCGCTTCTAGAAGACGGTGGGGGTCCTCTACGAAGAGTATCATCGCTCGTTTTAGATGAACGCCATGTACTTCCACCATTTTCCGGTTTGCGGTCTCGTTCGTCCGTTCTAGAATTAATTTATTAAATGACAAAACAATTTTAATCCAAAAAACATAATTTTAGATGTTAACTCATCGCGCAAATATATTAGTATACATATGTATAAGATGATTACAAGTATTCAGCCTAAAATTATTCTTCAGATGGCTGATAGATGATCCTTAATAATGCATAATTTTCTTCAATGCTCTTCAATTATACTCTCAGCAAATAATTGGAAATTACTTGTAAAAAACCACCACCCAATTTAACTTAAATAGTCATCAATGCGTTTACGCCTTAATATTTTGCTTCTAAATAAAGTAATATTACAGACCGTCAATAAGGTCGATTTGTCATGTAACTTTTCCATAAATAATCACCTGCTACGGATTTTTCTAAATTTCAGTGGTCTTTTCGATTTTTTGCGATTTTCACATTTTTTTTCCTTCAAAACGAGAGCGTCCTGTCAAAAAAAATTCTTAATAAAATCTCGACCTGGTTGAGCTCTACCCATTATTTTTTTTACTTTCAAAGGGACTTTTCCATTTAAACTGGATGTGGCGTCACAGACGCTGGGATTAATTTTCTTTCAAAAAAATGAAACATTTTTCGAGTGTAATGGATTGGTATGAAGCAGGAAAGACCTCCAATGTCAAATTTTGAACGAAATTTGATATCACAAAATTACGGTGAAGTTTTCTCTACAAATGTTTCATGAATTTTAAAAATACTAAATTATTCCCTCATTATCGGATCGTTAAGAAATAGTCAATACCAACTGCTCAAGAAAAAAACGATTATACATATAGATCTCGGCAAGCCCGAGTTTTACAAAGAAAAAGTTTTTTCCATAGGAAGCTTCGTTTTCGAGCAAGAAATATAATGTAAACATCGCAAAAAATCGAAAGGAATTTTTTTGTATTTTTTCTTAGAACCATTCCATGCAGGTTGTTSGATTTGGAAAAGTTACATGACAAATCGAACTTGGGTGGTTACACCCCTATGGGAGSGAAATTATCAAAATTGGATAAATGTGTCAAATGTTCTTTGGATTAATTCGAATTCACATCAATTACTTTTGACACCATATAATACCAATCAACYGGTCGAATTGAYCAAATTCAGTACAAAATAAATTSCYAYCTAACCTCCATAGAGAGAAAAATAAATAATTTTTATACCYATCAACTTAAATGCTYACAAAAAATMAGAAATTTATCATKGATGGATTCCACTTAGACCGAAATAGCCACTAAATGTCGTTAACGATTGTTTGTTGCCACAATGATAAACTATAAGTTTCCGATTTTAGACAGACCAATAAATCGAAAACATTTTTTGACTCTTTTCGTGTTTTAATGTAAACGGAAATTGATGRAAATTCGATTAATAGTTCGATTGAGCTGGTCCAAAAACCGGGAACGGCGTTGTCTTGCGAAGCGAATAAGCGTATTCTCAAAAGCAAACGAGTGATTCATTCAGTTATAACTATAGGAGAAAGACTGAGGTTACCGTTCTCTTGAAGACGAGAATCACGGTGTTTAAAAATGTCATTAAACCGATTGCAGAAAGATGAACGTGGGACCTTTAAAAATCTAGTCAAATTTGAAGATCAATTTTGAACATGAAAAATTAATTTTAGTCCCTTGCGTGCTCTGGTCTTGCGGGCCACCTTTTTTGTTTTTGGATAGTGCACTAAGGTCAGCTTCAAATTGACATCAATGGCAAATCCAGATTTTGTATTTGAAAACTTTCAACAAAAAACATTGAATTGTATGGTACTGTGTAAATATCCTGAAAATGGATTGCCGGAGCAACATCGTCGAGGCACACCCTTTTTCCGTTGAAAAGTTTACAGACTCAATGATGTTAGCAGAAACGTTCATACACTGTGGCAACAGCCACAATAAAAATATATTCTCTTGAAATTGGAAAGATATTGCCTTCCTAAACCTATATGGTTTATTATTATTTAATAATAACAATTTAATATTCGGTCCAACTGGTATCCTCCATACGAAATAACTAGGACAATCTGCTTTATACAAAAAGTTACTTAGTTTCAAAACTATTAGCAAAAATGTTTAAAAAAAATTAAACCTTGACAACCTGTATCCGATCATTCCAAGAATCCGTGGTTTAGCTTTCTGCCATATTCATTTCAGGACATGCTATATGCTAAACATAACTTACCTGGAATCAGTTTTTCGGTCGTATCGAGAAGAGTCGTAAAAGCGCGGTCGTTCGCTGCCTCGGTCCCGCTCATATGAACGTCCACTGTCGCGCTCATCTCTTCTTCCAATTTCTCTGGTATCTCTGCGGTCACGATCGTATCCTGAAAATAATCATTATTGGTTACAATATGAGCAAAAATCTTTCTTATTATCAATCATTTTAATACACAGTTATCAAAATGCAATACTAATTTGAGATCGAACGTACCTAACACAAATTACAAGACCCATTCTCTAAGAGCTTTCTAGCACTGCCACAATAGTCAATGAACCAGTTAACATAATTTTAAATCATGTAAGGACAGTGCAAAATT